TAAATGATTCTATGATTCTATGATAGCTGGACAGACCAGAGAGATTTAGATGACCCAAAGGGTTCATTTTCAAACACAATTTATTTAGAAATTTACAATCTATTAAAGGACAGTGAAGCTAAAACTTACCAATAAATGTATCAAATGCAGTAGTTAGAATAAATCCACAAATCCATGGATAAAGAGAAATTAATGAGAGTGATTGACACTCAGCAGACCTGTACTTGCTGGTTCCCTAATGGAGGTGATCTTGAATCAAACCGGATTTTACTGGAAACCTCAAGAATGTTACAAATGTCACTTCAGACTACATTAATTAAATGTTCAACCAAGGGTGGGCGCATGCCCCAGACGGGTGAGTTAAGCAAAAGGATAGAGCAAAAGGAGAACTTTTTCCTTTTGCTACCTTTTTCTGCATGAAAACTGCAGATGATTTTGCATCCTCCCATTTCTAGCTTATCCAGCCCACTCTGCAGGATTTGCTTGACAGGAGGAAAACATAGTTGTAAATTCACTTGATCACTGTATTTATTTTTTTTTTTCAGTTTTCTATTCTTGTTGATTTGCAAAGTCTCAGTTGACTGAGCTATGAGCTGTTTGCCCACAAGTTCTTTGTTCTGGTCTGTGTTTCATCAAAGACTGGAAAAACCTGTTTGTGTGCTCCTGTTTTCTTCACCCTCCCTTCCTCTCCCATTGGCAGATGCAGCTTTTACACGTGCAGACAAGGTGGTGCCTACCTTTCGTGTGGGAAGCTGCTTTACAAAAACTGAGTCTGCTTTTTCTATCATCCAGGAGCTTTTCTAGCCTCATGAAGGTTTTGGTGGATGCTACAGGAGTTAAAATCTGTTTGTTCTTTACAACATGTGTTCAGGACATCACTTTATTTTTCTTCAAGCAGAGGGAGGGTGTTTGAGTGTGGCTCCAGTCGTGCCTTTTAAATAATATTTTGTGGACTCTCAGAGGTCTGCAGAAACCAACCTTCTTGTGCAATGTAGCTTTTTGGATGCAGAAGCTTTTCTGCTTTACAGCAGCTGCATATGGCGTAGCGTTAACATCTGTAAACTGAGGCAGCAAGTTACAGCAAAAAGTGGACAAGTTGAGAAGAAGCTTTTCTTTCCATCCTCCTCCTCTTGCTTTGTGCTGCTGTAGGAACAAGAATGGGTCAACTGTGTGGCCGATGCATGCAGCTGCTGCGGGACTTCGTGGCGTTTGTTCAGAGGATGTCCTCCAACCTGGTGCATGGCATCAAGGAATGCTTCATTCTGATAAGCGAGTGCTCCTGCTTAAAACAGCACAGCTCTAAAGCCAGACAGCTGTACAAGCCCATCCTGCAGCCTCACGAGAGGGTGACAGCACAAGAGTTTCTGCAGCATATTGAAAGAGGTAAGTGGGCTTGCCTTTTTTTTCTAAAGGGTTGTGAAAGAACAAGGAGATTTCATTTTGTGCATTGAGAACAGAGTGCTGGTTGAACTGCTCTGGCATAGCGTGGAGCAACTTGTTGATGATGTAGGAAGGGCCAGAGCTACAGAGCATTTTGTTTGTGTACGGGACACTAAGGGCTCAAGTGGTGTCACAGTTGGATCTAGGTAGAAACAGTCACTTTCTTGCTCTGCCACCACTGTTAATACATAACCCAGGTAAATATGTTTCATAAAAGCACATCTTTCCAGTAAATGAGGTTAGTTTTTTGAAGTTGGTCACTGAGGTCACAAAGCTGGAAATGGGCTGTACCAACACTGGATGCTACGATTGCTGAGCAGGCCAGTCACGGTGGTCATGGCCGAATTGAGCACATCCACATTGGCTGGCTGCAGAACACCTGGACTTGTGCTGAGGGCGTCTGTGCTATATACGGGGGAGATCAAAGTCACGCTGGGATTAAGCATCGTTGGGCTTCCAGGGATCCAAGCAACTTGTCTGCCTAAGTGCTGTTGTGCAAGCATTTTAGACACATGGCTCCAACACAGTTGTGGGATTCTGCTTGAATCTAAGTAGATCCATAACTCTTGGTGTGTCTTGTCTGCTTTAAAGGCTGCTTGCCTAATCCTAATTTATCTGCTTGTGATGTCCTCTCTATCCTGTCCTAGGATACAACAGTATTGGTAGGAAACCTTTTTTAACTTCACTCCTGCAATCACAGAATATTATCTTGGATGAGTATGTTCTGTCAGCTGTCCAACTGAAGAACATTCCTTGTCTCAAGCCTAGGCAGGGGCCTTTGCTTGGTTAGTTTTGCTTTGTCTCACAGCTAATTTGGTATATCGCTTTAAGGTTAACAACCTTGGGCTAAAGCTACTACAACTAAATTTCATAGCCTTCAACTTTGGTTTGTGTGAAGGGTGTGAAGCACAAACTACAGTTTCTTCACTTGGCTTTTTAGGGACATAAAACCATCTCGTGAGGGGGACTAGGAGAGAAATTTTTCCTTGGTGTGATGGAGGTAACACAGTTTGAAATGATCTGTCATGGAAGAACCTTTGGAATAATTGCTGATGCTGTTTGTTGGGAACATGTATGAATAATCCTCAGCTGGCATTAGCTGCTGTTATTACCCTATGAATGTGGGGGATCCTGTGCTGCTAATGTGGTTCACTAATTGTTGCACATTAAGCACTGGCTAAGTCCTGAAGTCCATATGCAGATAAGGACCAGATCTTTCAGCTTGATGTACAGCAGGGATCTTCCAGGGCTGAACTTTTTCTTCCAAAGGCTACCATGCTCCTGACTGTATAAGAGAGTGCCTTGGCAGTATCCCATCTCAGTTGATGGATCAGGTGCAATTAAAGGGTGGTCTGGAAAAAAAATGGTGAGGCCAGAATGGCCCTTTGCAGCACCAACTGATGCTTCCTGAAAAGTGAAAGCATATTTTTTCTTAAGAAGTCCTGTCCTTTCTGAGATTTTCCTTCAAAAGACAGATCTGTCTTGGATCCCCAGGAACTGAGGTATAGCAGCAGGGAGCCTAGAGCTTCTGTGACAGCAGTACCCAAATGGCAATGTACACTCTCAGGGAGGCCCCAACCTCTGTGGTAGGACACACACAGCACCCAGGAAAAAGAGCCAAGGTTAATTCTCTGAGTGGCCAAATCCTGCTGCCAAGGCAGATGGAGGCAGAGAAGCCTCAAAGAGAGAACCAAGACATGTGCCTTTTACTTTGTGACTCACCTGTGTACTTAATTGCAAGATGGAGCAAGCCCATCCTCAGTTCTGGACAAATCATAATAAGCAGGAAGCCAACATTTGGACAATTTGGGTGCAAGGAGAGACTTAATGGTTGATCATAGTACTCAGCTGTTAGCTGGGGCAGTAAATGCTTGATACTAGAAGTGGGTGAAGATTTTGAATGGCTTCTGTTTTATCATTCTCCCAAACAAAACTACACATATATGTGGGAGATTGAGACAGCCAATGTGTAAGGAACAGAACTAAACTACGTGAAAACATTTTTGTTTTTTCTCTAAAACCTTGCACACACTGGCTAGTCTTTCCCATTGTGTGTATTGTTAATTATTAAACTAAACTGATCATTATATGAAGCAGTTCTTCTGTGAAGCACACTTACCTAATCCTGAAAGTAGGAGTTTGCTACTCTCAACGTGTCAGCAGCTTCTAAGGGCTTGAGGTATGGGCCGAGTTTTGCACTGAGGCGTAAAACCTCACACCCATCAAATTTCTTTATCTCATGGGAGGTAAAGTAGCTAGATGTTATTCACAGAAGCATTTCAATCTTTAATGCACTGCTTTAATCTCTTGTCTGAAAAATATATAATTGTGTACTCCACCAATCAATTTATACTCCATTACCTTTTCAACAATTTATACTATTGAGCAACGTTCAATGGCCCCTTTTTTTTTTTTTCTCTCTGCTGCTTCATTCCATACATTATAAGTACATTATCCAGCGACTTACAGAAGCACTGTGTGACTGCTGTTGCTTGATGGCTATTGCTGAACATCTGGTTTATTCACAGAGGAGCTGTCATACTTGAGAACAGGTAGACTCATGCTAGAAATCTGAAGTGAGCCCATTTGCAATTCTTATTGCTTTTCTCTGAAATCCTCTATTGCAATACCCAGGGCAGGAAACACCGTGAACTTAAAATGTAGTAAATTAAAAATATATTCTCTTTCTGTAGCTAATAACTAAGAACACCATATTCAGTAAACATATTTTAAGAAAGGTCTTCTATGATGCAGGGAAAAAAAAAAAAGATTTTTTAATGGAGAACAAGAACACCTGCATTTATACTGGATAGCACTAAGGTGTCTAAAGGTTATAATTTATCTTGCTCCCAATCACTAGTTTTGTGAGCTTCACAAGAGGCATTGCCAAGGACAGGTTATTCCAGATTCATTAATTGCTTCTGCTCACAGAAACATGAATAAGGATAGATGGGCTGTATGGAGTTGTTAAGTACCAAAATCTTTATGGGTTTGGTTTCATTTTTTTTTTTCAAACTAACCCTTCTGAGGTATAATTGAGTCAGTGCTGTCATTTTACATCTTCAGGTTTTGAAATCTCACCACTTGGAAAGGACCCTCTGGAAGCCTTGAGGACCTTAGCCTTTTCAGAAAACCCAGGTTTACAGCAGTCTGCTGCCCTCTATTACTTGCATATGAGTCAGCACAGTAAGTTATCTCAGTGCATTAAAGAAGTTTCACATAATTACAAATAAAAGTATTTTTTCTAACTGTGAAAATCCCTTGGATTCATTAATCAAAGTTCTTTTTTTTTTTTTTCTTTGCGCCTGTGTTGTTTGCTGAGGAAAATGGAAATGCTGTCATTGCCATGTGTTATTCTGGATTTTGCTACAAAGAGAGATCTCTCATGAGACTGTCATTGATGTAATTATAATATTTCTGGCAGCAAAACCCAAAGTAGTTAGGGTCAATGTACACTGAATCTCGTGAAAGCAGCACAGTCAAAACTATGGTGGAAGGAAATGGACATAGTGATCATTTAAGGTTTTATATTATATAATCTTTGAAAGAGGACAAAGCCCTAGAAGCCAGATTGTAGTGGAAAATGATGCAGGAAGTGTTCATCTTTACCCCAAATATTCCATGGGAGTACAAGGCTCCTGGGGTAATTTGTAAAAGGTTAGAAGTCAGCTTAGATACTCCAGATAAGATTACAGCAAGAATTTGGGTCCTACAAGAAGGTAGAAATATGAGCAACCATCAGGCTGTGATTTATTTTTTTTTTAATTTCAATTTACTTAAGGGAGAATATTCTGCCACCTGGCCTGATATCTGTATCCTCTGTACTTTTCTTCTGGCTGAGAAGAGCAGACAGTCAGGACTTGAGAACCTGCTCTGAGGTGGAATGACTTGTTTGGTAGGAGTAAGACATAATTCTTCCCTTCCCATGATGTTTTTGAAGTACTTGATTACTCAAAACCTTTTCAGGAAGTTTGCCCCATTTTGGTAGTACTAATGGAATTTTAAATGAAGAATACCACTTAGCCTATGTATGGTAGCACCTGAGGCTTAAGACCAGTAAGACAAAAATGTGACTGTGGTAAACGATGATATTCCTGAGTATTTCCTCTCATTCCTGCAGTGAACATCCCCCTGCCTGTGGAGCACCTGGAACCCTTCTATGCCTTACTACGGTCTGCTGACCTGGAGGTGCAGCAGATGTCTTCCTTGTCGCTTGTCAACTTCTTGCTGGAAGGAAATGGTGAGTGATTAACAACACATTTCTCTTTAGGTGAAAAAGTATCTCTTCAGCCAGACTCAGATGGAAGGAGGGCACATCTACATGCCCAGGTCTACACAAATCCCAATTTCTCTTTTTTTGTGTTTCTGATAGGACCAGTGTGAGTCTCTTTCTGTCTGTGAGCCACATAGATTTTGGTGGCACCTAGATATATCAGATCCCTCCAGCTAGATTATATCATATGGCGAGAGATCTGGGATCTGTGTGCAAAGGCTGATAAATTATTCCCAGACTGGTGTGGGAACAGCTATATTATTCACCTTCTTGGATCAAGAGCTCACCGCTTACCCTTTCAAGCAACACATACAGCTCTTAGAAATAAACTCTGCCTATGAGATGGTGCTCATTGTCTTGTATTTATTAACCAGACCTTAGGGGTAAATTACATGCAGATTTAAAAACAAAACAAAACAACTTAAAAAGATTTCAGTTTCTTCTGTAGCTAGTAGGGCAAATATAATTAAGATAGTATTTGGGAGCTGCAGATGGAAAACTTCTCAGTAAAGTTTATGTTGATAGACAGGGCATGAACACCCCATACTTCATCAATGGAGTCATTGTTGCATCTACTACTGCACTCCCTGGCACCTAGGCCGCAACAGGTATTCCATCACACTGCCCATTAACAGCAGAAGGCAGGGTCAGTCTTCAATGAAGTTAGCTTTTCTCCTGTATTTTTTTTAAGGATCTTGCTGAAAATAACATCATGTCACTATTCACAGGTAAAAAATAATAAAGGGTAGACTTCAGAAGAAAGCAGGTGCTGAGTAAATTGTGAACCTATTGAAAAGCTGCAGCTGCACTTTCCAAAATGAACCTTATGTTTGAAAATAGAATTGCTAGCAGAAGTATCTGGGAGCTTCTGAACATCTCTTTACAGTCTTTCATGAGTCTGAAGAGGAATCAGGCAAACCAAGCTAGGGACTGAGAGTGCCTTTCAGGCTGCTTCTGCCTTGGGTCTGTTTTGTGTAATCATAATATAGACCCCCAAAGCAGTGGAAGTTACATTCTTTTAAGAAAGGCATTAACTGTTTACTTTACTGTTCTTTTATGAATAGTTGACAAAGAATTAGTTGTCCAAATGGGTTTACTTGAGCCAATTCTGGATCTGCTTGAGTCAGAGGATCCCACTGTCCAGTGTAATTCCTGTGCCTGCACCATGACTTTGGCTGTTTCAGGTGAGTGTGCTGTTCTTTCCCTTTATCCTCTGCCGTGAATTCATTGAACTCTTACCTCATATTTCAAGGTGAAGCAACCTATTTACAGCTGGTTTAGGAGTCACAAGATGCAGCAGCAAATTTTGGTACTCCCACATCGTAAATTCAACTGCTTGAGATTCCAGTTAAGATCTTATTCTCTTATGATTACAAACCTTCTTCTGATTTCCAACCTAAATGTATTCATGACCAGCTTAATTAGTGTCTGTGTTGGCTTTTGCTTCAATAGTACTGCTTCTCTGATGTCTATGCTGATGAGGCTTTCATTTTACCAGACTGAAAAAGACAAGCTCATTTCAGACTCCTCTTGCAAGTGAGGCTCTCCATTCATGTTCAGAGCCCTTCTGGGTGTAAATGGTGTGTTCCAGAAATGGAACACAGCAATTGCATCTGCTGGTTTTTGATACAACAGACCTCAGCCATTGCTACAGTCCCAAGATGCAAGTGCTGCAGGAGTGCCATTTTGAATTCATCTCTTCTGAAAGAGAGTTCACCAGATATGTGCAGTATTCCAGCTGGGATTTCACCTGTGTCTTTTATTGTGGCATCCAGGGGAATACGTTCTGTGGCACATCTCAGGATAACACTTGCTTTTTATAGTGATTACATCATGGTGATATAGTCATCCTGCAGCTGACTCAATCACTTGGTCATCTTCTCTGCTGCTGTTTCCAACAGACCCTGACTAAGGGTCTGCAACAAATGTTTCCAAGCACACATTCCTGTATTTTGTATTATGAGGTTTCATTCTGTTTCTTTTGCTTAGTCTTCTAACTTGTTTGTTATTTGTAAAACATCTCATTCCTCCACCACATTGACAATGCTCCACTCACACCTTTTTATTAACTTTTTGGTTCAAAACCAACTACAGACTAGTCCCTGTGGAATTCCACTTGTTGCCTCCTTCCAGGTGGTCGTTCCCATTCAGCAAAACTTACTGTCAGCTTGCTTCTGGTCAGTTCCTTACCCATCATATACTACTTGCACTTGTCACCAACTTCTCTTGCTTAATTATGCATATTTCCCATCATGATATAGCTAGTTTCCTGGCATCCAGACAGATAAGCTCAACCACAGTTACCAAAAGAATGGTTATAATGTCAGTTTGGCTTATTCTACCTTTTGCAAACTGTGTCATTTTACTGCCATGAATAATGTTTATTTCCCTTCCTGTACTCTTTAATCTACAAGCTGCCCTCTCCAGTGTGGGATGTTGCAATCTGATCTCCTAGAAGGCAGATTCTTTTCTCAAAGAATCTCTGAGAAGGCTCAAAGTGTTACTTTTTCTATGTTATAAAGGGGCATTTGATAAGCAGGATCCAACTACATGAAAGTGCTGATTTGCAATTTATCCCACTTTTTTTTTTATTTACCATTTTTTAAACACTTTTCCCTGTGAAACTTATTTAAGTGTTGCATGTTATTATGGTCAGGATAAGAATTCTGTATACTAGATTACTTTGTAGGGAATACAAATTGCCTCATTTAAATGTCTAAATTAGGCATAGCATTGCTAAAATTTTAGTTACCTGGCAGTAGAAGGACTTTCTTTATATACAGCCAGTGAAGTTATACCCCTGAAGATGAACAGAGAGATATCTCTTCACCTGTTTTAAGCAGCCCACATAGAAAGTGACTTCTTTGGGTGCCTAAGAATGTTTCTTAGACCTGAAGGCACTCTGGCCCTTTTAGATGTCTCTGTCTTTAAACCAGAGTGTAGAGAATCCTCAGCCACTCCAGATCCAATCCACCTTCATGTGTGGTTGAGATGGGTCACCTAATGCCTTTGCACACTCCCTTAAGTGCCAGTGTACTTCCGAGGACAAATAGCTCAAATGAGGTACTCAAGGAGCTTTCACATCAGATGGATAGGAAGGTGTCTGCTTAGCACAGAGGTAGGCAGTCCTGCAAGTGCATAGGCTGGGTCACTGCCTGGGGTTTGACCAGTGTTGAGGATCTCTGTCCCAGTTTAACTACTATTTAGATGGACTTATTTTTCAGACTATATTTAGTTACCACAGCAATGAGACTAAAGCAAGAGGCAATTCTCTAGAGTTTATTTTAATTTTAACTCACAGACTCTGATATCTTAAAGGGTCTGTTTGGGAAAAGTATTCTGTTCAGTCACCTCTTTTTCAAGTAAACTATCTGTGCTTCAGAGTGGTTTAAAAAAGATAAAATATGGAATCACAACAAATTAGGGAGATCCTTAGATAGCTTTAAGTTGACTAAAATTCTAAATCCAAGAATGGCAACATGACTTAATTCTGCTGCAGTAAGCAAGCAAAAATCTGTACAGAATGAAGCTATTTAGCAATGTGACTGCAAGTTATACGTAAGCTGGCTTGTGTGGTACTTACCAGCTGCAATAGGTAGCCAAAAATAAAAGCAGCAAACAAGCCTATTCAGATGAAAAGGATTTGAAGGTCAGTTTGTTCCAACGTTAGCATTTGCCCACACAGCAGAAGGACACAGGCACATTTGCAATTGTCTGCAGCTTTTCAATCTGTGAGTGAAAGTAATCTGTCCTGGGATAAGAACTCTTCTCAGAGTACATGGAACAGAACTAAACATTCACAGCAAGGGTTTAGGGAGGTCTGAACATCTGCATTAAGCTAAACAAGGAGGATACACTGAGTGTAAAGCACATTCCAAGTTGTACCAACACGAGAATTTTCAAGCACACAAATGGCAGAGAATGGAAAGAAAGAATTTATAAATGCAGGTTTCAAGGTGAGTTATTCAAACCCAGCTTGAGTAGAAATTACTGGTTTCCCTATTTTAAAATAGCATCTGGTATCTAAAAAGCACTCTAAGGGTTGTCAGTGGTTGCAGTGGCATCAGTGGAGGGACTGTATTACTTAGACAAACAGGTGGCCCAGAAGAGAAGCATAATCTAGCCTGCCACATGTGGAGGTAACAGTACAGTTACACACCTTGGTGAGGTAAGTATCTCCATCTTGTCATAAGCTGATGTCATGGTTTAACCTCAGCCAGCAAGTAAGCACCACACAGTCAGTCACTCACTCACTCCTCCCCATCCCACAGTGGGATGCTAAGGAGAAGTAAAAAAAAAAAAGAGTTAAAAAAAAAGTAAAGCTCATGGGTTAACGACAGGTTAGTAATTAAAATAAAATATCACATAATAATAATATTAATGAAAATGAATATAGCAAAAAGAGAGAACTAAAACCCAAGAAAAGACAAATGATGCACATTGCAGTTTCTAACCATCCGCTCACTGATGCCCAGGCCACCCCTGAGCAACAATCCACTTCTCCTGCCCATTTCCCCCCCCCCAGTTTATATACTGGGCATATATGGTATAGAATACACATTTGGGTATTTGGGACACACTCTGGCTGTGTCCTCTCGCAGCTCCTTCTGCACCCCAAGCCTCTGCTGGCAGAGCAGTACGAGGAGCTGAAAAGTCCTTGACTTAGTGTAAACATGGCTTAGCAACAACTAAAACATCAGTGTGTTAACAACATTATTCTCATCCTAAATCCAAAACACAGCACTGTGCCAGCTCCTGGGAAGAAAACTAACGTTATTTCAGCCAAAACCAGGGCAGTTGTCAAAGCAGATATTGTTCAGCCATGCTATCTGACCAAAACTAGAATGAGAATATAGACAAGAATAACGGAAAATGACACATGTAAAAATAAATCCAGCAAACCCACAATAATGGTCACTAACAAAACAAAGAACACAGAGAACTTGTCAGTTAGTAAACGACCCAAGTAAAAAAAAAAAAAAAATTTTCTTTGTCACAGAGTTTTCCATTGTGTGGTCTCTCCACTCTCCCATGAGGAGAGCTTGTGCTCCAGCCCTTCCCAGGGAGGAGAGGGGTGCCTGGTTCTCCATGTGCTACCTCCCTCTAAAGCAGGCTGTTAGAGAGAATCCTGCCACTGTAGGCTTTCAGTGTTGACCACATCTCTGAGCCTTCAGGCAGAAAAATTGTTTCAGCTGTCATGGATGTGAAGTCTTTCCTGATCAAGCCAGTCTTGTTTCTTTAAAGAACAAAAACCTTTGAAGCACCCAATAGCTCATATTCTGTGATGGCCAGTGCTTCCTTCAGAAGATCTTCAGACTGGAAACACACCCCTGAGAAGCTCTCTCACAAGAGGATATGGAATTACCCTTCCCTGCCTTAGAAGGGAAAATGGAAGAAAGAATTTGCCCAAGTTTTGTCCCAATGTTTGTAATCCCTTTGCCCAAATACGAGGTTCTCTTCCACATTCACAAACATTCGTGGGTGTATTGTGTGAAAGAATGAAGGAAGCAGCAATATCTGAATTCTCAATCTTTTTACCTCTCTTCTTTACTCAGCTAATGAGAGTTTACATTACACCAGACTGATTTCCATCAGTTGGAGCCACACAAAAGAATTTCTCTTTCCACTTAGGGAAACAAAAGAACAATATGCAGGCAGATTAGATTGGAGAAAGGCTTGTCTACAAAACTGACTGGAATATTTCACTAGAATAGCTGCCCACATGGAAATCTGTTTTTAAATACATGATTCTTCCTGGAACAATTATTTTGCTCAAAAATTAGAGCATTTTTCCAGAATAAAAGGTATTAAATAATTGAGTACAAAATATTCATATGAAAGGAGAAAGGGACTTGCCCTGAAGTACTAAACTGATCCTGCTG